AAACTGCTAATCAAAACCTACTAACATCTAACTATATGGCACCTTTTGTCATTCGTCGAGAAGTTCGGTGAACTCAGTGATGTCATTAACTATCTGTCATCACTTGCGTGTTACGTGAACAATGCCTTTGATAGTGGATACTTTCCGAACAACGTGATCACCCGCACTGTTATCGAACATATTGGCGATGTAAATAATAATGGCTTTATATGTGCCACGCAAGCTGTCCTGCCGAAACTCTCTGAGGCGGCCTATATATGGAAGCCCTTCCTTATTAACATAAGTTATCTCGACTTTTTGTTCAACCATCCGGATGCTTTTGTGTCTGATATCAGCCAATGGTGCGTAAGTATTCTGATTGGCTCCCTTTGGTTAGACCTGCAAGGTTCCGGTGTGCGCTTTGTAGACTTAACTGCCCTGTCTCCTATCCACCGAGCTCACTAAGGTACCACCCTGCAAACCCTTTGTGCCATTAGCGGATGTCTTTGCTGCTGCGGCCCTCGACATGCTAGGAGTTGAGGAGATTGGTTGTGGCTACTTTTATCATGCTGTACTGAGGTGGTTCCCTAGTCTTTATCGGACGCTTTTCAGCTGTTAGGCAGGTGACTGGGATAAAAAATCACATTACCATTCAACAATAAAAGAATACAAATGACTGGACCGTCAGTGATCGAAAGATCCGTCTCCCATTCTACTAGAACACCATTGTTACTAAACGCACAAGTCATTTTTGATATAGTTGCTGCTAATTAAGCCGTTTTTGCTAAATATAAATATAAGAATGACACCAAAACTGGTATTAATTTCCAATTTTTAGTATCGTATGGTTCAGAGGGGACAGTTAAAACTTACTCTTCTTACGTTTTTGTTTCGCTGCACGGAATACTGATTTGGGTTGAACCAATTCTTAGTTGAAGAAGTATTTGCAACAGAGACTGCTGGGGAGTAAATTGAGCGTACTGCTTTATTCCGACTCGCCCGTTCACCAGATCAAGTCCGTAGATTTACTTAGGTAATGGGTCGGAAGCTCTACTAGTTTACGTATGCGTTCCTGAATAGGTGGGTATGATAGAAGGTATGGAGAGGTGGTGGCGGTCTTTAAGAAAATGCGCATAAGGAGTAAATGTTTCTTCTTCTTAACGCAACAAAGGTGCCAGTAAAGCAAGTATCAAGATCTCGACTACGGATAGAGTGGGCATGTCACCGACACAAATCCCGCAGTTAGTTACATGTGTTCGATCGAACACCAGCA